TCTCAACTTCTGAGAGTGGTCGTTCGTATGGGGGCTACAGCTGATTAACGGAAAAACAGATTTTAAACAGACATATGTATTATTTGTTCTCGAGAAAAATATAGAAAATAAAATATATCCAGATTTATGTTATAAAAAAAGATAGGCAGCTATGAAAAATGGTCTGACAGGCTTAAAAAGATGGAGTTGGGTTGAATAATGGTTCAATTCTCTAATACATGTTCGACAAACGAATGAAATCGTAAATGATTGCATAAAACGAATGGGTACAAAAAATGTTTTGATGTTCACATAGAAACACTATTAGTCAAAAACATTTTGAAGTTTGAGGAAGTGTTTTTTTGGTAACCAATAGAAGATGCCAAAAAAATTGCATTGTAACTTGCAGCAAAACACAAACTACTTCATGAATTCAATAAAGAAAAATATATCACTGGGAAAATGGTTTATAGTCATAAGGATTTATCACCCAGGCAACCAGAATCTAGTCTTCTCAACAAAGTTTCAACAAAGAATCTTTTGTAAAAGTTAGTCGACAAATATGAAATTGATTCAAATAAATTTTCAATGTTTCATCAGTTCGGAATTCCATTGTCTAATATAATATAAATTTATTTGAAATCACTAAAAAAAAAAAAAGATTACCCGAAAATAACAATTTTATTAAACAAAAACTGAAATTACAAAGAAATAACATACAAGCAACAACCAAAAAAATAAAAAATTGAAATATTAATAAAAGCTGAAAATTTACTAAAAGGACGAATTATAGCCAATATATATAGGGAGTGGTTTGAAACTCTGGCCATTGAAGAAGCCCACAAGAAGCCCCGAGTCTGGTTGAGATACGTAGACGACACCTTCATAATATGGAACCATGGGAATGCAGAACTAGACACTTTCCTAAAGCACATCCACAACGTAAGTCCTTCCATCACTTTCACGATGGAGAAGAAAGTCCACAACGAATTGCCTTTCTTAGACATATTGGTGAAAAGGACCGACACTAAATGGGAGCTGCGCTAACAAAACTCTTTAGAATTGGATAAAGAAACTAGGATTTAGATTTAAAATAATAAACAAACGTCAAGCAGTTATGGAAAGCAGAAGAATAGTGGAATGGCGTAACAAATACTTGGAACAAATAACTAAATAAAGACAAGAACAACGGCAAATTTTCTATTTGGACTTATCTTGGTATGACACTCACGACACAGTTACGAATGGGTGGACTGATGAATGAGAATGTCAACGCCTAAGTTGCCTGCAAACAAAGGATCTCGACTAATCATTGTGCATTGCGGGGAAAGTAAAGGATAGTAAAAATGAGTTTCGTATAATTCAGCGTTCATATAAAAATATTTGTTTCGAAAGTATTTTTCTTTCGTATAATTCAATATTTATATGAAAATAGCTGTTTCGGGAGGGCTTTTTCTTCCAGTTTGCGTCTGAAAGTTACTTCTTTGCATGATTTACACATTTTTGTATGGAGTTAGTTTTTTGAATCGATTGCTTTTTTCCTTTCTTTGGAAGATTCCAACATTTTTGTATCACGATGGAGAAGTAGAAAGCCAAAACTTTTCTTTCTCAAAAAATAATCTCCCCTAAAAATGGTTTTTATATGATTTATTGTTTTCTTGTAGTTTTTTATGAATGGAAGTTCAAAAGGCCGTCTATCCCTATTCTTTGGTTCAAATTATCCGCTCAAAATTCATTAAAAATGAAATAATGGATATATTTCTCGAAATGGTTCAATTAAGGCAGCTCTCCGTTATGTGCCTAGAGCTAGAGTATAAACAATGGCAAACGTTTATCAATAATAATGAGTAGACGAGACAAACAGAAATATCTGTGGATGATATACACATTTGAACCAAGAATTTTTTGTATCCTATTTTCTTTCAAACTAAATTTCGATTTGGTAATTTATCCTCGACCCAATTCTTCCTTTTTAAGTTTGGTTTGATATTTCTATATTCTATGCAAACAACCTAGGACACCATGCAGATGGGCATACCTTTCAAAGTGCTGCATACTTATTGAAATGGATGTGGTTGGAATGTATTCTAATAACGTCCCTACAACGTCCTTCTCAATGGGTAATTTGCAACGTGTTCAATTGTATGCCCGTGTACGAGTACAATGGGCTATATATCGAAGTTGAGAGTGCAATGGGAATCCCATATAACTTACTGATAGATAACTTTTTTCATGGACAAAATTCTGGACACTGCAGTAATCAGGACCAATCATGGTTTCTCAACATAGAGGGTTTCTAGACACATACAATATGAAAATCCACTCACGATGGAGGAGGAAAAGGTTGGTAAAATGAGTATTCAATGAGATTGAATGTTTGCAACTCACAAAACCGAAGCATACATACTAGCAGATGAACAAGGAATTCAATCACTAAAAGATGCCTGAAATCGAAGATTCACTTTGAAAGTTAGAAAAACTACTTGAGAATCATATTGTGGACATACCACTATATAAGGGATGACATTATGAAGGGTCACAGAAAAAGCAGAATATGATTATAGATAAGAAGGTATCTTGAAAGGGTGTTTCCGTTCCTACTTTCATATAACCTTGTACTGTACGAGCTTTTACGTTTCATGAACTATAATGTCCAAGATGACTCCCTCCAGGACGCATGCAATAATAGAATGAAAGAACGTAAAAACGTACATAACAGGTCTTGAATATTGAAACATGATAAACTAAGAAGAAATGACTGAACATCTCATTCAAGTCAACCAAAACAGCGTTCTCCAAAAAACGACAACTCTCAAAAGTTGAGAACTAGTGCGAGCTAAGGACTAACGAGGTCTTACCTTTTAACGTGTGATTCCTAACACGGTTGAAGAATCATTCCAGCTTCAACCAGATGAATTCTCTCGAGAAAAATATCTGGCTGAAGCGGGAATCGAACCCACAGTCTTCCGAACGTGAGTCGGGCGCAATACCACCGCGGCCAATTCCACAACAACAGATAGAGGCAACAACAGATAAAGGCATACCTCTTTAATTTCAAGGTATAAATATACAAATGTCAGGGGAAGCTTGAATATTGTGATACTGAATCTCAGACTGACCTGAAACCAACGAATAGAAGGGATATAAAAAAAGTCGGGGGTAGCTTTAAAACTGGTAAGATGCAAGGCGTGGACGTCGGAAGTAAATAAAATGTACAATCGTAGTTGAACCCATGATAACAAGGAATCATTGGTTTGGTGGCTGAAGATGAAACAAGTGACCACTACTAACAAACTTAGCAAAAATTTGCTCAATATAGGAATGTAAGCTTTCACGGCTGGCGTCAATGTTTTGAGTGGTTTCCAGGTTTTGCCGTGGTCTTCTTTGGTTATAATCTCCAAACGTTTCAACTGCAACCGCGGCAGTCATCTTCAGTGGCGTGCTCATAATGCCATAAGGTGTACAGAAAGGAAACACACATAGATCGATACCTACATCCAAGCGATACCATCACCCAAAACAGAAACGGCCCATCATCAACACCCTGGTGAACAGAACTTCGAGAATATGTGAAGAAAGTTAAGTCGGCGATGAAATAAAACACCTAACAACTGTGTTACAAGCGAATGGCTACGATAAAATAGACATAATCCGTGCTACGCGTCCAAAGGAGAAGAAGAGAAACACCAGTGAACATCACCCCCAAGGCACTGTCTATCTACCATACATAGAAGGTGTCACCAACCGAATCGGGAAAATTCTAAAGAAGGAGAAAATTGACAAAGTCTTCAAACCAACGAAGAAAATATCGGAGTATCTGAGATCAACAAACGACAGCAGGAACCCACTCAAATCAGCGGGAGTTTACAATATTCTATGTGACTGTGATAAAGTCTATATTGGTCAGATGAAAAGAAGCCTTGGTACCCGCCTAGTCGAGCACAAGCGGAGTTGCCGTTTGGGACAGATCGAGAAGTTGCAGTAGCTGAACATGCATTGTCCAACGGGGAATACAAGATATTGTTCAAAAATACTGAGAGGCTAGCAACGTCGAATCATTATTCAACAAGAATGTATTTAGAAGCCATAGAAATACACAAACACCAAGAGAACACAGTTTTCCCTCAAGAACATGCCCGATCCTCGGACTGTCAGAAGACAGTCGGTGTCGCCTCTGTTTGGAAAATGATGAGACAGCAGAGCACATTCTTTGTGCCTGCCCCAAATCAGTTTTTTAGAGTTCGGCAGAGCCGTACTCTTACCATCTGACCTGAAAGACCACTCACCATACAAACTAATCGGCTTCGTTAAGAAGCTGAGTTTATTTGGTCAAGTGTGATTATGTGTGATTCACAATAACCCTCGCGGGTTACGATGAAGGGTCGAATAGACCCACTCACTTTGGACCTAACCTAACATGCCCGGTCAAATACTTGGTATTCAGACGGTTTGAGTACCGAACATGAAATGGTAGCTGGAATATACTGTTCAGGTAAAAATTTCAATACAGCTACACGCTCGGTCGATATGCATCCCTCTTTCAGGCGGAAGTAGATCAGTAAATGAGTCAATTAAAAAAGTAAACGATGAGAGATCTATAATCACCCAATGCAAAAACCAAAATCTTATGAGAATGTGAGGCTCTGGATTACAGAAAGTGAACCGAAATGAGTTCAAAAAATTTGAAGGAACACTCGGAAGATGACATTTTTAAATTACCGGGAAGAAGAATGTTAATTTGAGTGTCATAGCAGTGAGCCAATGAGGATACAAAATTTCTCATTTAATAATTCATCCCCACTCCTTAGCCTGAAGTGAAAATGGTTACAGGTTACAGGTTACAGGTTAATAAATATAGTCTCAAGGAGAGGCAGAATGAGTTTTTTTAGCAGAGGCAAAACCAGTTTTTGGCTCCTCTGCAGAGGTCAAACACTTACTCAAAAGAATATTCAATATTAGCAAGAAACGATAATCTCATTCTTCAAAATAGATGAGAATTCCGGGTGTCTTACATATCTTACCGGTATTCTCCTCATTTGAATTCGAATATCGATGTTGAAACGAATCTGGATTACCACTAGCGAAGTTTTCTTCTGGAAACACTACTTCAGACAAAGGATCCTCCCAAAGGAAATTCTCTAAAGGTTCCAATGGGTTTATTGCTGCTCCCATAATGTAGTGAAGTGTGGCCAGGATGATGATTGGCCTCATCTGAAAAAAAATGTACATTCTAAGACATATATTGATAAAACATTTTTTTAAGTACTGTAATATATATGCAAATATTTTTTTTGAAACCTATTTCACCCTCTTCCACCACAATTAGTGGCTCTGATTAGGAATCTTTGGAAAACTGGTACTTCCGCCAGAAGACTGCTATTCTCTGAAATGCCCATAAGTGTGGAAACTGATGTTGTATTATTTATAGATGTTGGCCCCTTTGAACTTTTATAAATCCAAAAAAATAGTCGACTTAATGCACAAATTCATATCTGAACAAATATACTTCCAATGGAAGCTACCACTAACAGAACATTCTGCCGCCGATGAGAAAGGTACGTCTCAAACCAAAGTAACGCGGATCTCCTAAATCCGTAAACTTCTAGCTTGCGAAGAAGTAGCATGTGGTTTGCACAATCGAAGGCCTTGGTAAGGTCACAAAACATGGCCGCCGCAGATTCTCTTTCATAAAGATTGGTGTACAGGTTTTCCAGGAGCGAAAAATAGCGTCTTGTCGTCCAGTCCATACTACCACAATTTCGATTTCGTACCCAATAGCACATATTATCAACTTCAAAATGTTGGTAAATTTTTTACCTCATCGTAGACGTTTTTTATTGAGTAAATGCCTGAGCAAACCTGAAATGTTGTCAGAAAAAGACAATTATATTAGCTTTCATCTTGTGACCCCAAGGACGAATGAGGAGTTTGAAAATTCCTAAATGAAATCTAGGTGTAAATTGAAAGGAGAAAAAAGTTTTCAGATTTCAATTTCAAAAAATGTCGGAAATTTCTGATGAATTGAAGGTTGCAATTTATTTCAAAATTAACTATCAACAACAAAGATATGTTAATCCTGCAAAGGAGTTTTTTCAGATATAAACTACTCGAAACAATTTCTCTCACATCAATTTTGAATTACACGAAAAACACATTTTTTTGTAGAATTTGAAGAAGTAAAAAGCCAGAAAGTTTTTTTTCTCAAAAACGTTTTCTCTAAAAACTAATCTCTCCTTAAATATCTCCCCTTCCAACGTACACCTGGAATTCATTCAGGAGTATTCAAATTCATCATACATTATTTTAAGCGTCAAAATGAGTATACCAAGAGTGTCCTTAAAAGATTGACATAAATCATCGCGATTTTTTTGTGGGCCTACAAAAGACAGACAATATGTGGTGAGTTATTTTGTTATGTCCCGAAAGAATCAGCCAGCGTTTTTGATGAAAGTTTCCGGGCTTGGCACACGTAGCACCAGTACTCGGGATAACGGGGATAACATTGTAATATTTCGACCAATTCATACAAAATATTAATGAATCATACTGATGAACTGTCTTCTTGAATCACTCCGCACATTGATGAAAATCGCATGGAAATCCGTTCACTAGTTTTTCAATTTATGGCATTCAGACAAAGAGATGCGGCAGAGGACTTGGTTTATTAATACAGGGTGAATTTTCAATAACATGACGGATAGTTGTATATTTTATTGAACTGTATTATTGAACAGTTGAGAAAAATCGCAATATGCACTGCAACACTATGAGGAGGAATGTCATTGTTGGAATAGTTGCAGTTTTATATTTGTTGTTATTTTATCAAGTTGTTTTTGATTGTTTGTAAAAATCGACAATAGTGGGAGATTAGAAGGATTTCCAGAGAGGAGCGGACATTATATAAAACGAATTTAAAAACGTATTTGCCGAAACAATATAACGCCTACAATAATTGGCCATCCATCATTTACTGAACTCAAATAATGTTCTACTCCTACACGACATCTCTCATATTTCACTTCTATGTTAAAAATTATGTATTACCAACCACTGAACTTCTCGAATTCCACTCGACATTTGTTCCATTTTTATGTTGTTGAATTTTAATGTTTTTCGTGTATACTTCAAAATCAATTCAATTTCTTCGTTTTATCGAACATCTGTAGTTGCGTATACATGCCTAGGATATTATTTTTATGGTCCATACAAAAAATTAAATTTGGTGATGATATACCATCTTATAAAGCTTCAAAAGTGGCAATGAGATTTTTTTTTGATACTTTTGATATATTTTTCAGTAACGTCAGAAAAAAAATCAAAACGAAGTTGCCGAATTTCGATTTGTTTCGAAAATATTCGAGGCTGCACCGTTTTCCGAAAACTTTAAAGAAATGGTCTACTAGTCTAGTCAGACAGCTCCAAGGAAGCGAAAAAAAAACCCAACGGATGTTGAAGTACATTTAAAGAACATTTGTTCAAGTTTACTCACGGAGATGCTTTCTTTCACAAGGAAACTTTCACAAATGTGGAATCCAGTATTAGTCGACGTATCAGTTAGGAAAGTAATTGTTCAAGGCTTGAGTTAGTCAAATTCTATGATCTAGCAAAGCTGAGATGAACATTTCAAATTTTATTCGAAATATTCATTTTCTGGGCGTATCTATCTCTGCTGAGCACAGTCATCAGACTGTTGTATGTTTCGTAATTGAGTTCAGCATATATAACGGCTGTTGAAAACTTCAGAATATTTTCTGACGAATCTAATCGTAAAGTCTTTGGAAAAGTTCGCCAGAGCCAAAGAAAGAACTCGACAAAATATCGACACGGTTACAATTTGATGGTGAATATTTGCATGCCAATCGTATCCCCAGGTGCGTCTTGTAAAATGCAAATTGAAATCGTGCCTGTATGCCTTTTATGAGAATAACGAGAAAAATGTGCGTATGGTGGAGAATCCAATATGAGTTATTATTGACTATAAAAATGAGTCAATCAAATATGAAAAGAAGCGGAAAAGTGCTAAAGATGTTTGCACCCGCTTTGAAAGTTTGACGAAATATAAGATTAAGAAAATGTTTGCATATTCCAACTATAACCTAACCTAACCGTTCGAAGAAAAGTTTTTGCTTAGACATGCGATCGAGGCTTATAAAATTGAGTTGATGTAGCAGTAATTGCTTTGATTAAGCAGACCCTTTGGCTGTAAACTCACTGCCCTACTGTCGATGGTGTATGTAGTTACAAACTCGTCCATCCTGTAGCAGTCGGTATCCACAAACTGGTCGAACATTCTGGAGTTTTTGTAAGGGGTACAAGAGTAGATCATTGTTGTACTCGTTTTCGCCGGCCTGGTTAGAAGCGACGAAACATCGGCTTTGTACAGACTTGTCCTCGATTATGCGAAAGGGATAGGATTCGTTATTCCAACTCTGTTGGTGATTAGTTCCGTTGGTGACTGTGGGGGCTCAACCAGAGGACTAAGATCAGCCTCATTTAGAGTTCCCACCTCCTCTTTTGTCAAAGCTTGCCTGTTTTGCTACGGGTCTTCCACCACATTGCACTCCAGTTCTTGCACTGTCTGTACATATTCATTGTTGTTCAGGTAACTATGAACCGGATACTGTAAAAACATGAGGATTGGATAGCGGCATCGGAGAAAGAACGTTATGATAGATAATGCTCGATTGGGGATGAGGATAGGAAAGAAGGATGCTACTATATTTTGTTCATTGGAAACATGAATTCACTTAGTGTTTTTGATTGAGGAAGTGTACCTAAATATGAAGCTGCATTTTCCCTTCGACTCAGAATGCAAATTTTTTGAATCAAGAAAGAGGTAGCTCTAGAGTCGTGAAAGTACTGAATGTTTCGATTTCCATTGGTTAGAAAATGAAATTATCTTCTAAATGATTGTATTTTCAAAAATAGATTTGGGAGGAAGCTGAATACACTTTTTGAATGAATGAATCAAAGAGGTTTTTGTATGAAAGTGTATAATTATAAAATTATTGCAAAGCGCTTTCGACTTCCGTCATCATCAGTGCTCACCTGAAAGTAGATCAATTAGATCACTTGCTGTCAGCTGAGCACTGATGATGACGAAAGTCGAAAGTGCTTTACAATGATTTTATAATTATACACTTTCATACAAAAACCTCTTCGATTCATTAATTGTATTTTCATTTTTTGACAATTCCGCTGATGAAGCTGCTGCACCGCTAGATACGGAAGTCGAAGGAACGTACGAAGAGCCAAAGTAACGACGCAGATGAAATCCCAGACAACCCGTTTTCCTCTCCGCCAAGGGATGACAGTCATGCCCTCTGGTCTAAGATGAACGGTATATTTTCCGAACCTAAAGCACGTTTGATAATCTAATGATGCTGTTCCCGTCTTCAAGCTGTAAATGTACAGCTTGATGACGGGAAAAGTGCCCGGCGCTATATCTACAAGTCAATCCTTGATATCCTCGGGTGTCTACTTCCACTCCACATTTGCATCTATGTTGAACTGAAATATTGGAACCTAGTCGAAGAGCTACAGCAACTCTAAAAGATTCATTGTACAATAAGGTACCAAAGGATGAAACTGGTAAGGTACTCAACCAAGCGCCTGCATGTTTTGACGACACTGCTTTTATACATGCCTTAGCTAAGTCTAACGAATTAGTTAGGGCTTTTTTACCATAGGAATATTGCAGGTTTGTTGAACATTTTTTCTGGTACTTGGTATTTCCAGACAAGTTTGTGAGATTCATAGTTGTTCGGTCTCCCTCAAATGTTTATCCGATGTTTTGAAATTGAATTTGATAGCTATGAACCTACTTTTTTGAGTAAATTTCATCAATAAACATTGAAAAAATAAATATTGGATGTATTGTAATCACGTCATTGTGGACTCACGTCATTGTTTCTAAGTCTAATGAGTCGAATTCAAGTAATTCACTGTTCTCGTTTCTTCTATATATCAATCTGAATGGTTTTATTGACAAACTCGCGCACAGTTGCATCAAATACCGCCTTTTTGAAATCAGATTCTGCAGTCTCTAGAATTGGGTTGTTTCAGAAGTTCTGTCAGTTTTAAAGTGTTTTTGTAGCTCTATGTTTCAATAAATATTCATTCTACTGTGTCATGATTGATAGCGAATTTTTCACGAATACATTGGGTGTAGATTGACCCATCACAAAGGGTGCGTGGGATGGCGGAAGAAA